GCTGACAGGCGTGTCCTGGGGTTCCGGCTTGACGGGGCGGAGGCAGGGAGAGCCGGACGAGCGGCCGGACGAGGAGGAGGACGCCCCGGGCTGCTCCATGCGCCTCGGCGTCCACGAGCTCCCACATCGGCGAGAGAAGGACGGGGGAGCGGGGTACTCGAGGCTTGCCGCCCTCGATGTACTCGAGGACGGCCTCCAGCGTGCGGCCGGGCACGCCCCACCACCGGCGCCGCCCCTCGGAGTTGAGCCTGCCGGAGGGCACGACGCCGTTCGTCGCCTTGAGTTGTTCGGCGTGGCGGCGGCGGAAATAGGGCTCCCAGAGTGGGCTGTCGATGGTGTACCGCGGGCCTTCCCTCGCCGCCCGCGGCAGGGACGCGCGGATACGTGCGATCTCCGCACGCCGCACCGCCCCAGTGGGTGGTGGTGGCACCGGCACGCCGTCGGCGCTGATCCTCTACGCCCCGGGCACCCGCATGTCCGGCGGGACCGGGTACTCGGCCTCGAAAAGGAGGCGAGCCTCGTCCTCATGAAGATGGCGGCGGCCGAAGCCGTTCGCTGCCGCGCCGTCGCCTGGAAAGCGCTCGGCCATTCTTTTGAACTGGAAACGATGAGAGGGAGGTGGAAGGGGGAGAAATGGCGCGTCGGCGATGGAGGTGCGTGTCTCCGGCGCCTGGGGTCGTCTTATATAGGCGGAGGCACCGCATAGTACGCGTGGCGGGTGAGGGGACGCGCGTCGCCCGGCCTTCATTGCGCCGCCCGTGAGGTATCAATGGAGGCTGACCGGTGCGGCAACGTGCGCAGCTTTGGCATTGATTTGCCGCGGGAAACGAGGCGATGAGGACGACGAAGCGGCGAGAAGAGAGGCGAGTCGCTGGCAAGGAGGGTCCGCGGCTCTTTCGCGCCAAAAACGATTCGCCCGGCGCCCCCGAGCGCCTCCCAGCGCGCCGGGTTCGGGTTGGGTCCGCCGACGCCAATTTCGGCCCAAGCCGGCGAAAACTGGGCCCTTGGGGGCGCGACTGGGCCGATTCTTTTGGCACCGGCAGCCGAAAAATCGCCTGGGAGGCCATGTTGGGGGCGCGGTTGGAGATGCTCTTACTTAGCAGAGGATGTTAAAAAGGCTTTGTTCTCCATTGGGGACACCAAGGCACCATGTACTGATGGGTTGCATGCTACTTTTTTAAGAAATGTTGGCATATTGTAGGTGATATTCTTACGTCTGGAGTGTTAAAGGCAATAAATGAAAAGAATATTCCAGCTGGATGGAATGATACAGATATAATGCTCATACCGAAGGTGGATAATCCGGAAAATATATCTCAATATAGGTCCATCAGTTTATGCAACGTTTTGTATAAAATCATCTCGAAGACGATTGCCTTTCGACTGAAGAGTATCCTGGATGAAACTATTGCACCTGTTCAAAGCGCTTTTGTTCCTGGGAGATCAATTACAGATAATATTCTTATTGCCTATGAGTCCATGCACACAATGAAGAATAAGAGGAAAGGAAAAGTGGGGTATTGTGCAGTGAAGCTAGATATGCACAAGGCCTATGACCGCGTGGAATGGGTCTTTCTGGAGAAAATAATGAGTAGACTTGGTTTTCGTGAAGAGTTCATTGAGCTTTTGATGGCTTGTGTAAAGTCAATAAAATATAGGGTCAGGTTTAATGATCAAGAGACAGATATGTTTGTGCCAAGCAGGGGACTTCGGCAGGGGGCCCCTCTTTCACCTTATTTGTTTCTTCTATGTGCGGAGGGTTTATCCAGTGCTTTGGCTCAAAAGAAGGAGGTTCATGGCATTGAAGGCGTTCGGGTGTGCAGAAATGCACCATCGGTGTCTCATTTACTTTTTGCTGATGATTTCCTTATACTCATGAAAGCTGACATGACTAATGCAACCTCATTGGGACAAGTACTAGATGATTACTGCGCAAATTCAGGCCAGCTAATTAGTGAAGCGAAGTGTAGTGTTTTTTTCAGCCCTAATGTAGATGTCGATGTGAAAGCACAGATTTGCACTGAACTGAATATTACACTGAAACTATTTCTGAGAGGTACCTTGGTTTACCTTCTATGGTTGGGCTAGATAAGAGTGGGAGTTTTGTATATCTGCTAGAAAGAATCATTGAGAGACTTAAAAGATGGAAAGAAAAGTTGTTGTCTATGGGGGCAAAGGAAATTCTTCTGAAATCAGTACTTCAGTCAATCCCAGTTTTTGCCATGGCTGTTTTCAAGATCCCAAAAAAACTATGTAAAGAAATCAATGATGCCATGTCTGCCTTCTGGTGGGGTCGTTCAGATGATGACAAAAAGATGCATTGGTTTTCTTGGTGGAAAATGTGCATCCCGTAGAAGCTAGGTGGTATGGGATTCCGTGATTTGTGTTCTTTCAACATGGCCATGCTCTCAAAACAGTCATGGCGGCTTTTGAACAAACAAGACTCGCTGTGTGCTAAAGTGTTAAGAGCTAAATACTATCCAGGCGGAAAGCTCTTAAATGTTGGCCCTAAGAAGGGCTCCTCTTATACTTGTCAAAGCATAATTGCAGGTTTACCAACTTTTAGGAGGGGGCATATTTGGAGAGTTGGGTCTGGGAGTAATATCAATATTTCGGAGGACCATTGGATCCCAAACTGTCCATCCAGGAAAGTACTTACCAGAAGGGGTCAATGTCTTCTTCGGCATGTCGATGAGTTGATTGATCAAGATACTCATTGCTGGCATGAGCCACTTATTCGAGACATTTTCATGCATGTTGATGCTCAGAATATTATCATGATTCCTTTGAGTGAACACTTGCAGGAGGACTTTGTGGCTTGGCATAAAACAAAGTCCTTTGTCTTCTCGGTACGGTCTGCTTATTACATAGAATGGGAGCACCAGTTTGGCGCAAAAACAAGACGAGAAGATGAACAAGGAGCATTAAACCCGAATCCTGTATGGGACATTTTATGGAAGCTTTCAGTCCCTAGCAAAATCACGATTTTTGTTTGGAAAGCCCTACATGGCACTGTCCCAGGAAAGGCTATTCAAGCTGCACGCCACATTCCTGTAGTGCCTATTTGTCCGATTTGCAAAGGAGGCCCAGAAGATATTCACCACCTTCTGTTCACATGTAATCGTGCTCGGGAAGTTTAGCATGCTCTTGGCCTCGAGGAAGTAATTGATAATGCTCTAGCTATGGACAGACCGGGTTCGGTAATTCTGGAGTATATTTTGTGTCATCCTACCCGGAGATCTCCCGTCCTAGGGGGGCTCGGACTTCAGGAATCAATTGTCGTTGCATGCTGGTACATATGGTGGCAAAGACGTGAAATGGTTAGGGGGGAATTGGTGGCAGCCCCCGCTAGAACTGCTTTTGCAATTGAACCTCTGACAGCGAATTATGAAGTTTCATCTCACCCCAGTGCACCGCATGAAAAATCTTGGACAAAACCTAGACCTGGATGCTACAAACTAAATACGGATGCTGCATTTCATGATAATGGTACAGGTGCGGTAGGGATTGTCTTGTGAAATAGCATTGGTGAGGCGGTTGCTGGTACAACTTGTCTATTTGTCTCTACTTTTGATGCCACCTCAGCAGAAGCTTTGGCAGTGTTGAAGGGGCTGGAGCTGCTCGAGAGGTTGGGTTGCACAAATATTATCATTGAATCTGACTCGTTGGAATTGATAAATGCATGCAAGGATGAGGTTGATATGTTCAGTCCATATACTGCAACCTTGGTGGAATGCTTTGCGAAAGCCCAGACAATTGATGGTATCTCTTTTGAGTTTTGTCCTAGGGAAGCTAATCAGGTGGCTCATCATCTTGCAAAACATGCTTATGATAATCAGTTAGAGTTTAGATGGGAGGGTGATCCACCATCCTTTTTATTGCCTTATGTTTTACACGATGTAACCCTGTTGACAAAGCAATAAATCATCGAGAGGCTTTCCCACTCATGCATCGTCTCACACGGCACACACACATCTCAAGTTCTCAACCTCTTGCACGAGCAAGCACCAACGCCTTCGAGTAGGTCGCAGTAGGACCCTGTGACGTCGTCGCGCATTAGGACCTTAGCCGTTGCGCAGAAGGTCTTCCCCATCGTCCCCATGTTTGCATTACCGTAAAAAGGAATCGCTAGCCACCAGTCCACCTCTACAGTCTCATCATCATCGCATACCCCGGCCGCCGCACCGTCAACTGCGCTTGTAGCACCGGTCACTCCTATCGTAGCACCCGTCGCTGTCGTCACAGGTTGTAGCAGGGTCGCCACAGGTTGCAGCTTCCGTCGACGCATGTCGTGGCACGGGCCGACATCGATTACAACTTTTTTCACCTCTAGTCCTGACACGGGTCACCGATGTTTACAGTCCGCTATGGCCAGTTGCAGCTTTCGCTGCGGGCGTAGCATGGGGCGTTGCTGATTACAGCTTTTTCTACCACCAGTCATGACATAGGTCGAAGCCGGTTGCAACCATTGTAGCACA